AACGGCGTGTCCCGCGGGGTTCGCTCGCTGTGGGTGCATTCAACCTGTCCGGAATTTAAAACCCCCTCGCACAATAACCTCTTCTCCTTTCGTACGTAGAGAAATCCAAGACTCGCCTTGTGAACCCGAGGAGCACAGGAAAGACCAAACCCGAAGATGTAACGTTACACTGTTAAATCCCGTATGAAACGCTAGTCACCAGCACCAGTGTGCCCACTTTCATCTCTCGCGGGTTACCGGATGCAGCAACGACCGCAACAACGACATGACGGGATCTATGGTGTCCGGAGGGTTATCGCGAGAAACCGTTCCACATCGAAAGGTAGGCACTTATCTTCGATCTTTACCATATTCGACTGAAACTTCGCCAATCGTTAAAAAAATCACGGTTTGATCTGTCCAACAATTAGGACGATTGCCGTGCATATATTTTTAAATGAATTTTTGTATTCTCATAAAGTGCAACGTATTCTGTATTAACTATAAAAAGTATTGCAAAAGAAATCATGCATCGGTCAGTTAGGCAAGCATTTTAAGCATTCGTGAAATACCGTTACGATCTCACCTGTGTCTCGCTGCCAGCATGACGGCGAAATTTCTGAACGTTCCGTTTCGCGACTAGCGAATCCGTTCTGCTTAACGTTTCGCGCAGCGACTGAGGGTTTGCCCTCTCTTTACGAGGTGCAGAACGCGCCGCTTTCACGTTTTTAAGGCGCCCCTCGGCCATCGAACTGCATTCCGTGCGCTTAATCCATCTACGTATATATTCTATTTATAAATGGAAGAGAGCGTATGACCCTCCGCTCTTTAACACGCGTCTGAGTATACGTTCACGTGCCACCCGGGGTTACATGTGTGAGCAAACGTTTAACCTCGAGAAAGGAAGTCTATTTCCGGAAAAAAGGCAGTACCTCGAAACGCGGAGAAGCACCCGGTGACTAATACCCCTCGGGGGACGAAAGAGTCGTTCAGTTTATGCTCCGTCCGTTTAAAAATAATCCATCCGCGGAGATTTTTCGTTCAGTCTCGATAAGGTACAAGGGCAATGGTCCCGACGATTTTTAATTGAAAACATTCGCATATGCACCGTGAACTCTTGACGTCATCAGATGTAAAGTGCTCAAGAGCTCGATAGAGGTACATTAGCGAAAGAACGTCTCATCGTTTACTGATAAATTTAAAACATCGCAATCTCATAGTCGTCGCGCGCCTATCTGAAAGTGGATGCACTCTCTTTGGATACTGTCTCTCTCGTAATGGACTTCGTCCGAAGTCGGGATATCTATAATATAGAATTCTCAATCTGAGAATGTCATATCTTGCGTCCTATTTCTATTTGTCACCTGGCATAAGTCCATCAAATTAATTCTGAGAAAACGATACGCGTTCAATATGAGAAATATAATAAAGGAAGGTAATTAGGACAGTAAGAGGAAATCCCGCGTTGCACGACCCGAGACGTAGACGCACGGAGGGAAGAAAGCCGGCAGGCGCTACTGCAGATTCCCAAAGCGGTTTCGCCGGAGGCGGTGGTACGGAACGACCGAAACAACAAACGGACAGCTCGCTTTTTCGCTCTTTATATTCAGAGTGGAAGTGATTTCACGGTTCGAAGGACCTCTCTTCGGCCTCCAGACAGGATCTAGGCGAGGCATCCTGCCCCGACGATCGCCCTCCTCGAAAGCCTCGCCTCCTAGCAAGGCGTTAACCGCAATAATAGGTCTATTTCTTCTTCTCCCTTTCCGCGGCTCATTTTTCTTTCTCAGACAATTTGCGTCCCTCGTAAAACACTTTCCCTCTAGTTCGCGAGCCATTCAATAATGTCAATCTCGAATCGATCCTGTGAACGAAACACGATTTCTTGCAATCGATCAATCCGTTGATTTAATTCTCGAGTATTAAGAAACGAATGTCGCCGGATGTCGTACGCTGTCTGACTACAGACAATGTCTCTCGCAATGAATGACGGGGGTCGGCGATTTCGAGTCGCATCCTGTGGTCGCCGCTGGCGTGATCGAATTCGCGACGCCGACTCTCCCAGGAAAGCTACCGTGAGAGATAGAACGAAAGGACAATCTGACGGACGCGACGGTAGAACGCAAACCCTGTTCGGTCCACTACGGTCGATCAGTTTTTGCGGTGAGTCTTGGTCCACCGAACAAGAAGACTCGGTGTGCGCCCGTGGGACATCTGCCGCGTCGAACCGCACGCCGTAAACGTACTTGCATTCCCGTAACTATAACTCGCGGGGTGGATCGAAAAGTTCGTGGGCGGGGGAAAAGTGGCCCGGTTGAAATTTCATCGGCACCAGAAATGGCTGGCCGCTTCGTAGGATTTTTCTGGCTCCCCTTCGTCCTACTCCCACTCGCGACGACGTGATTCACCTTTAATACCTACCTTCTGTACCCCTGCCCCTTTATTATCTACCTCAATGGAAATAACGGTGTTAGTTACGATTTTATAATCGATTACGTGTTCTGCGACTCGCTTTCGTACTCATTAATGCGTCGTACGTGATGGTTCTGTGCTTTTCGCGTGGTACTTGTTTAATTCTCGAGTGCCGTTTGGTCTGCTAGTCGAGATCGACGGATTTATGTCGCTGTTTGGCATTCTGGTTGTTCGAAGTGTCGACAGTATTACGATCAAATCGTTAAAACGCGCTCCCGATGCAGTTGCACTCGGTAAAACCATGTGGACCGTGACTGCAGTCGTTGCAGATATCCAGGGTATCGACGCGGCGTGTATACACAAGAAAGCCGTTCACTTTTTCCTTTCCTCGTTTTTCGTATAATTTCCATTTCCTCCCTGAGCATCGACACGTGTACTTTCTTGCAACTGCATCCGGCCTAGTTCGACTTTTATTTCATTTTTAGTTACGATGTACACGTCGTCTCAACCACAAATTTGAGAAAAAATTTTTGAAGTACATCAAAACGATTTGAAAGCAGCGGTTGAGTTATTCGAGTTTAACACGTGAATGTGTAATTACGAACGCTTTAAAAATGATTAATGATGGACGGAGGGAAAAGAAGAATGGCAAACGGTCCTCGCATGTCGAAGCGACCGGTCATCCTGACCAGTTTCCGCGAACATGGGTGGAAAGGGTTCAGGTCCACTCGATATGAATGTCGTTTAATTAGGGCAGTTGGTTACACCCCTCGTAGTAGCACGCGTGTTTATGGGGTATTAAATAGTTAATACCGGGTCCGACGGGCCCCGCGCAGAGGCGCGTGCTACCGTTGAAGACTAAAATGCCACTCGGTGAGTTCGTTAGGCTATTGTGGTCATCATTTGGAGGCTCTCGATCGGACATTACCGTCCCTGTTTACTATTATTCGACCCAGCGGAATGATCGTAATTTATCGCCGGATCGGTTACGTACCACCCGACTTTTCGCTAGACTCGGCCGTTGAATTCTTGTCGTTCACGTAAGTAAACGATACGAGTTTCCAAACCTGCCCGATATTTATGATTTATTACCGCAAATACTGGTTCCAAATTAACTTTCATTTTTACTCTAACGGTCTCACCATTGAAGTATCCTATGCGAATACACTTGAAATTCTGTTTTAAATAAACCGTTACCTCGGTGAACGTTAAAAAATGTTTGGTCGTTTTGCGAGGATGCTCGATCATGCATCGTATAAAGATAAGCGCGGAGAGAAGTAGAACAGGCCCGTATCAAATTACGTTAATGAACTGGGTGGTGTACAAAAAATGATCGATTAACTTTGGTTTCATCAAAGAGAAGACGTTTGATCGATCGAGCCCGAAACGGGCGATCCATCAAAACGCATTCGACGCAAGTTCGTCCGGGTCAGGTGTAATTTCGAATCGGCAAGCCGGTCCCACGAGTAATCCGATCAATTAGCTCCGTGCTGAAACCCCGCGTCACACGCGTACCGGCGATTAACGATCGTTAAAAGCGATTCACCTGGATTTTCATAGCCACCGTATCACGGTGGGAATTACGGAAAGTAAAAAAGGGAATGAGATCTACGGGGACGTCTCGTCGTCCTCGCTCTCACCTCTTCTTTTTCTATAATTTGCCTCGACTCCACCGTAACGTGTCCCCGCTCCCTTTTTTTTGCTTTACACTCTCGGAACTTCTCGAGTAATTGGATATCGCAACGACCAGGTCCTTAACGATCTTGGATACAATAACGCGGTGAGGTCACGTTCTGTTTTAAGTTTCCAATTATACTCGAAAGCTACGAGACAAGATTCGATGCTTATTAGAATTGAATCGCATTTAAATATTCAAGCTGGGTCGTTTACGTTTATGAAAACATATCGAATATGGATATCGACGATATTACTCGATATCTCAGAAGTCGTCCAGCTTAAAATTCGATTTAACATAATTCCGTAGAGCTCAGAAATTAACCGTATTAGATGCCATTATCGAAATGACCAGCTAGGATGACACGAAGAGCACCAACCAGCTGCCTCGCAGCGCTCCCCTATAGAAGACCCCATGGTGCATCACGCATTATAATTAACCATATATGTATACCACGCCGGCCACCCCCATACACGTACCACATCAAAGATAAGTAAATGCTCGGACACGAGCCTACAGTGTGTTCCATAAGCACCGAGCGATCGTTACCCATTGTTTACGCGTCTAACCATTCCTCATCATATTTTTTTATGACACTCGATGTGGTCGACTAAATTTACTATTTTTACGCGTGAAGGTTGCATTAGCATTTTTATTGAAATTTTGAAAATGTATTACGCGTTGGTAATCGTTTCTGTCGCTCACCCTATATTGCTACCCCACGCGCGCGTGCGACGGACCACCATGAGTCGAATCCAGGTGAATGTTACAAAATGTTCGTTACGGAACACCGTTCAGCTGGCTAATTTTCGATGTAGCTTCGTTCGGTCGAAAATTATGTACGCTCGAACGGTTAACGGACTTTTTAGGAGGCTAATTGAATTACTTTGGGAACGGGATCAATGAACGTACAACGGGTATATGTATGAAAGCACGATCGTTTATTATTCCTTTTAAATAACTAGATGACTAGAGTTTTGCATGATCCTAAATTATTCAGACATATACATAATAGGACTTTCTCCGATAGTTCGGAAGACGAGATTGAACAGCATCAGAGCTTATGTTCTCGTATTTTAGTTACTCTTTGGAGGTGCTGCATTCATTGTTGATTCGTCGGGGAACCAACTGATTCAGGCTTTCGATGGCTCACTATCCTTTGACCATAAAGAAAGGGCATTTTTTTTTTCGTCACGGTCAGAGGAATCTTACCCGGCATTTCATCTTTTTGATTTAGAAAAAAAAAAGAGAATGTACGCAGGTATATGAACGCAATAGTGAGCGCATCCAAACCTCCATTTAGTATAAAATATAGTATCACCTGGCGTAGTATTTACAAAAGTAACATAGATACAATTAACAATCGACGATCGATGTTGACACCGACGATAATAGATTAATTTATAACGACGATTGCATATCGCGGAAGAACAATGGCGAATAAATACACTGGTTTATCGGACAGCCAGAATTAAATACGCTTTCCTATCTTCAATTCTGTGACCCTTTCTTCGTTAATGGTTTTCCCTTCAACGTTTTCGACATCTCGTTCTGCTGTTTGCCAGAATCCATCGACGACGCAAGGGGCTTCTTGTTCACCTCGCATACCTTCCGAGATCGCCAATAATCTGCAACAAACAGTCCAATTCGGATTAATATTTTATAGTCGATCGAAGATTTTTGAAATCGACTTTACATTTTTTTTTATCATTTTCAAGACAAAAACCGTTGCGATGTTTTTGTTCAATGAGCAAGTTACAAGGTTCCATTAAATAAAGGGAGAAAGCGCGTTTGTAAAACCGGAGGGGTCAGCTTATTGCGATGCGACAGTTTAACATTCACTATGTACGTACATGGGGAACGACGCACCACGCGAGAAACACGAAAATTTCCACAACAAAAGCCACGGAGCGAACAAAACCGCCTTGCCGACACTCTATTTTTGATCAGGTAGCCACCTGAGCGCCCTTGCTGTTTCCTTTTTTTCTCAAATCTCTCGTCTTTTCTTCGACGCGCAGGTGCGATTCCACGTTAATGGTATCACGCTGGCAACTTCTTGTTTACATTGTTCGCGTACATCTTTCAAGAAGATTGGGATGTATCGAATGAGAGAAACAATAAAGAAACAGTATAGAAACGACAGCTATTAGATCTCCGATTATTAAATAGGCGTAGATGGAATTTCACGTTGAAAATTAGGGTTCACTACTTTGCTACGATTAATGAAATTACTTAATCAGAAATATACAAGTTAACAAGTTATTTGAATGAAATAAAGGTGTACATCTGTTCGAAGAAAATGGCATTTAAAATTCAGCAATCTAATAGCTCGAAATCGTAGGACGTGCTCCTTCGATATGGAGACAAGTGCGAAAGCCTTGAACAAATCGGAGTAGCCATATGTCGAGGACACGTTGATCTTTTCTCCCGTGATCCCTTTTCGCACTGGTTTGCCATATGGCGCGCGAAACTAAGCTTCCTTAACCAACGTCCACTCCGGCTCTCTTTCCTCCTGGCACGAATCTCGTCAAGGATTCCGTCTGTCAACATCTGTTTCCACGCCTAGCCGAGTCAACAGAATTTATCCTAGCTCTCGCGAAGGGAGTCGAACGACGACGTTTAACTACCTGTCCATATGCTTGGAAAGTGAACAAAGATCGAGATCACCTTTGTCCTCTACTAGTAGGAATAGCACCCTCGAGAGTTTTTCAATCGGACCGTACGATTCCCAACCGAGGATTTTAAAAAGGAGGTCAGATTCTTTAAATCGTGGACCTCGAAGAACCTGAATATCTTCTTCCTTTCTTTACTATTAAACGAAATACGATTTTCGATTCGATCCTCACGTAGCTCGAAAAAAAATATAGGACAATGACATCTCCTAATTCCGATCGTTCATTCTTCTATTCATTCCAATATACAGATTGTTAAAATAATAATTGCATCTGCCAATTAGCAATAGCAATAAAAAAGTTTTATTAAATCCTGACTAGTCTCTGACTTTCTTGTTACTTCTCTTACGCTTTATAGAGAAACTCATAAAATAGATTTTTAAATCTATTTTTGGTCCGCTCATTAGGGACCTTTTTACTGTGAGCTGTTATAGACATTTATTGCTATCGCCATTAACACGATAATTTATGAACACAAACTGTCGAATGGGCAGGTAGTTGAAAGCGAGTGACTAGAGGAAATGCAAATGCGCAATACGATCGGTTAAGAAAGCAGCTATCGCGACAGGTGGTGTGCGACCTTCGGAAGGTCCCGCTGCTGGTATATCGCTCGTGTTTGCTGGTCTGATTTAATCGTGGGAAAAAGACACCAAAGTCGTCAGAGTGGCGTAGCGGGGGTTAACAGGTGTTAGAAGGTGATGCACGGTGTCTCGCTCCGTTGGCTTTTCACGGAAGTCCGTAGCCCTTCGCATTATCAAGACGCTACCATGAAATATCTAATCTAAGCGTTTCACGTACGCACCGGTCAAGCGTGAATCGGTTTTTCGCCCTGTTTAAACAACATTTCTCGCAATTAGCGTTAGACGGTCTACGTTGGAGCACGGAACGGTCGCGTACGCACTTGGCCGACGAGATACGATATCCATTGTGCACCGAACGTCCGTTTAGTGCTCCGCGCGGTATTCAAGGAATGCGTTCGCAAGCTCGTTTTACTTCTTGAAACTGGGGCCCTTCGATGAGTCACGGGAGGACCCTTCAGGTAATATTCGTCCGCCTTCGAGCACGCGTGACTCATCGGCGTGATTCACTCTGACGATCTACACGAGAAAGGATGCTTTCTAGACCTTCTACGAGATCCTGCATGCATGCTTTTAACGATTCGTCATTCGACTTATGCGTCAGTTCTTAACAATGCCGTCGAAGAATGCGCGACTCGGTGCGAATTCAGGCGCAAAGATTTTGCGAAATTTAGAACAGATTGGAATATACGAGGAGAATAGGTTTGTCGTTTAGAAGACAATTTTAAATATCAAGAAATCTAGTCTTTGTGCTGATGAAAAGTGGGAAAGAGGAAAGGGGAGAGGGAAAAGGTTCGAAGGGCTTGGGGCAACCGGCAGAGATGTAATTTTGGAAAGCGATAGTAGCCGGCGGACGGGAATCGAAAGTTTCTGTATAGCTGCGTAAAACCAGAAGCTTTGGTGAGTCGGTGAGAAGGCGGGGGAGGAGAGAAAAGGCGGAAGAGGCGCGGAGCGCGAGGCTAGACTAAGAAAACAGGTCGAAGCCACGCGACCGGCCTGCGCTTGCGCTTGTGTGCTGCGCTACACCTTCCTTCCCTTCCCTTCCCTACCCTCACGAGCTCGGTTTCCCGCCAAAAATCCATGACGCACTACCATCACACTATTCTTATCATATTTGGTTTTCGTGCACGGTTTCCCCATTACGTTACACGCTGTTCACGTTACTCCAGTCGAATTTTTTTCGATATTTTTCTCGAAAATTAATCTGTTTTCTTTTTATAAATTAATAGTTGAACGAATCATTTGGCAAAACATAAACTTTTTCTCAAGCTAAAGTTTTTTAGAATTTGCGAATAAACTTCATATCCTTGATTCACACTCGGAATACTCTGGACACGTGAGAAACCGTTCTATTTTGTACAGAAACACCATACGTTCTCCACGTTGCATCAGACATTCCGAATGTAGAAAGTGAATACAGCGAAAAAGAAAAAAATTATGTACTCACCGTGGATATTGGTCTGCCTGGCGTAAGGACTGGATCGTTTCTTGGGCGATTGCTCATACTTTTCGTGATGATTCCTTTGATAATTGTTCTCCTTGTCTTCTGATCGCGGATCGACGCCCCATCGTTTCGCGAATTTGCTTCTCTCGGTCTCAAGCGCCTCTTGAAGCATTTCCATGGTTTCTCTCGGGTTCGGCTTGCCGAACAGGCAACGTGGAACTCGCGAAGCCATCGTCGTGCTGGATAACACCTTGAAATGAACTTCGCGGCAGATCGAAGCAGCCAGCATCTCGCGAATCTCTTATGTTTCGAAAGAATCGTAGTAACTGGTGGAAACACTCGCTCCGAATTTACTGGCTCTCGCTGCACGATGTTCCACGCGACGAATCGTTTTTCGTTGTTCAGGTGCAACGAAACGTAATTCGATTCGTTTTTCTCGCTTCCTGGTGTTCGCTGTTTCTTGTTTAATCGTTCTTCGGGTAGTTCAATCGATCCTGTCCGACTTTTCTGTCAAGTTCTCTCGAAAATTCGATCCTACTTGCGCTACCGGAACCGAACTGGAGTAGAAACTCTCTGATCTTCACTGTACGACGGTCGGACTCGTTCTGGTTCTATCTTTGAGACGAGAAGAAGGCTCTCTTCGAGTCCACCGCTTAGACCCGAAGCCACGAGGCCCGGGGCCCTTCCATCGACACTCACAATTCAAACCTGATTGGTGCGCTAACGTGAGTGCGCAGTAAAAATGGCGCGCACTTGCCATGCTTCTGTCTTCGTTTTACCAAGCTGTACTCTCCTTGTTCGATCAATAAGCCATGGTTCTATCCTCGTTTCTTCGTTTCTCTTGCACCACAGAGAGCCCAACGGATTATGCTAAGTGATTTTGGAAGGGAAGAAGCTCGCGCCATAAAGCCTTTTATTTTTTCCTAAAGTAGCGCGCCGTATAGAGCGATCACGATCGCGCGCACTATGTTCCTATAGACGTGTACTTATCTTTTTATCATTGTGATCATTCTTGCACGTGATACTCTTAAACAATTCCATTGTTATTTTTGGACGAACTATCTGTAGTAGTTGTCGTCTAAAGATAAGATCGATGATATACATTGGAATAATTATTGTATAAGCTTTCATGAGATATCGAATCGCTGAGCAGTGGCTCGTATTTCGATAATTTCGAGGAGAGGATTTCTTTAAATACTGAAGATCGTTCAACGCTATTAACTTACGTGTTCAAGGTTCGATCTGATCGATTGTTAAAAAGAATACGCGTTGTATTTCCGCGGCAAGCCGGGGTCCGGCGTCGAGAAAAAAGGAATGATCGTTCAAGAGCAGGTGGACCGGGGCAAGAGAAGGAGGGAGAGCCGATGCAGGAACAAGTTTCGCGTTTAAAATCGAACATCGCGCCGATTCCAACTCGTTCGTGTCAAAACAGTTTTACAATGGTCACGAAACGGTCTAATCGCGATGTAACCCGACAATTTGATCGCCCGTCAACTTGAGACGGATCATTGTTGCAACCGTTTGTTTAAGTAAAAAGAAAGCGTCCCGGACTTTTTTCAACCGATCGGGATCATGGTGTTCGCAAGATCTCGTGGCTAACATTGTGGCACGATACGCAACACGATAGGGGTTCGTGTTTTCGGTGAACGATGCACGCGAGGCAACAAAATGGAGGTATAAATTTCATCTCGGTCCTACTCACGCCAAACAAAATCAACGCTTTCTTCTTCAAGCGTTTTTATACTCCATAATTAGTATTACACATTCATGTACATTATTCAGAAATATATTTCATAACTAGTTAGGTTTTTGCGTTACACGAATTGTGCCTAAGTACCAATTAATAATATGTTTCTCTGTTACTTTATGTTATATATTATTATCTGTTCCGCTTCGTATCTTTCCCTTCTTTTTCATTGATTCGATTCGTAAGAAGACATTGTAATCACGATAATGATGCCATTAAGGAAAGAAATAGAATTCGGCGAATCGATCGCGATTCAAGGACCCGTGAGTATATCACGGTTTTGCGCGCGATGGGGGTAAATTCGACCGTTACAGAAACCGAGCTGAAAAACACGGTACACGCCGTAGATCATGCGGGTTCGCGTATGTGCGTTACGTATACGTGCAAAAGTGGCCTCCGAGTGTGACCAAAGCCACGGACAGGTGAACACCGTGACCACGATGGTCAGCCCGGCGTAACGATTATTACCGAGGTTCCTGATTGCTTTTCAAGATTTTTTGCGACGTTCCCACATACTTAGCTACCGAACGCCATCATCAAGACGTCGCGATTGGTCAATCAGTAAAGAAACACGGACACTTGTCGCGAACGTCGTACTTCGTTTTATTCGATATAAATAAATTCTATCGTACAGATACTCCGTTCTGTTCATGTCTGTGTCGAATACATGTTTTTCTGCACTCCTCAGTTCAGATAAAATGTCGTACCTCAGAGGCGGAAATCGAGAACTCAAGTCGTAGGTACGAAATTATGGTCTCGTTTTTTATAGCAACCGTCTGGTCCCGCGTCGACCGACGACTTCCTCTCTGCGTCTGAACGCGAGACTATCGATATCCGTGGGGGATTTTTCGGTTTGAACGGTCCGCGCTCCCCAACGAGTTCGTTGCTTCCGGTCCCGGGCACCCAGACCGGAACACACTGGGAACGCACGGACAGTGACGTCAGTACGTCAAAAATTAGAGAGAAACCGATCGGCAGGGGTTCCTCCGTCAGGATGTAGTTAATACCGTCGACTTTAACCCAAAGACGATTATCAGGGGGGGTCCGATCATTTTCCACTCGCCTGAACGCTTTAATAGACAATGCACAAGGTAGAGGATTTCTTCTCAACAACGTGAATCCTCACCGAATTTGATTCCCGTCTTCCCAAAACTTTAATGTTTGAATATGAGTAAATTTCACTCTGGATTCGTTAAGATATTAACGTATTTGAGACAATGACAGTATTCACGAAAATACCCTCGAAATTGAGAAGTCTAGATTTGAAAGATTCATCCGAAATATCATTTGAAATATCCGGATACTGTTGATATTCGTAACGGACGGTTTGAATTCGAATTCGAAAGAGTAACGATGAACAGCTGACTGGTGAACGGTCAGGACTCGGACAAAGACGGAGTCTCGGAGGAGACGCGCGGAGAGAAATCGCGAAGAATGGAATTTGAAAATTCGAGACCAAACCCTTTGGCCGGCACGGCGACGGTCCGAGCAGCTGGCAGCATATGCTTCCGAAGGAGGGAAGAAAGAAACGAGACGTCGCGTCGCGAAGGACAGCCCGGTTGCTCTTTCCTTTCCGTGGTTAACGTTATCGCGGTAACGTACATCGATCGGCACCTTTTCAAGCGTCAGGGGAAACTGTTCCATGCGTATCTTCCTTCAATTAGTAACCGATCGTTTTTCAGTGAAACGCAGAATTCTTTAGGACGGAACTCATTTCAAAAGATGCGTATCCATTTGTATCGTATCGTAGCATACGTACAGCTGGTAACAATGAAACTGAGCCAGTTCGGGCTTGTGTTAGTTTCCCCTGGGGGAAAAAAATTCAAAACGAATAATAAGTCTACGTGTTCGACGCGTTAAAATTGTGTTAATGTCAGTATCGATGCATTGCAAAATAAGATGTAGAATTATTACTCGTTTTTAAATTAGTCACCCTAGAGGAAATTAACACAAGCTCGATCTGGCTCAGTTTCATTGTTACTAGCCGTACCACATACACCGATATTAAGTCTTACGACGTATTGCAATACGTGTACTGTATAATTTATTTTGGCCGTAGAATCTTCGTGAAAATTATTTTTACTCTCAGTGTATTCTCTGATTTTGCGACATAGCTAATGTCTTTAAAAGGTGATAATGAGTACATATTTGGAAGCGTCCTAAGGAATGTACATGATGTAATGTTTGCTGATACGATACAAGAGTATGGTACAAGTGGATCCGGCCTGAATGCTCTGCGTCGTCGCGTATCATCGATAAGTATATCCGGATGCCGTTATCAGTCGGCGAGAAGGATCATAGACAGAAGAAAAGGAATGAGCTTTGAAAGAGGAAGAAAGACCGCGTCCGGAACAATGCAGGACGTGTTCGTAATCACCTGTGCACTCAGGTACCCCATGGCGCGAGTAAGAAAACAAAGCTGGCTTTCCACGTGCACGTACACCACCGACGAAGACGAAAACAAACAGAATCCTACGTGTGGACCCTGCGTAAGTGCACCTTTACACGGGAATTCGATACGCTTGAACATGTTTGGTCATCTGTCTCTCACGAGGCGCGTGGACCCATCCGGAAAACTAAGCGAGCTCGTGCGTGGGCCCTTGAATTTCTTTGGTTTTTCCTTAAATTCTCGGTTGGAATCCCTTCTTCGCGGGATCTACCCGACTTCGGCGAAAATCCGACCCCTCCGTTTGCATCTCCGTCAAGAGTCGGCTGTTTCCAGTCGGCGTAGACAAGAAACGTCGCGTTTGTATATGGCGTCCGTCCTAGAGGATAAGTGATGAAGGGGGTGGTTAGGCCAGCTGTTCTACATAGATGCAGATGCTCTCGAAATTTCGGGATTTTCTGTAAACGGCACGTGCCCAGAGATATTCAGTGACTGAGCAGAAGCTTCGGTTCACTTCTATATTTTTGAGATTACTACGAACAACATTGACGAAGATCATTTTTATCAGAATTGCAAATGCTGAAGAGGACTGAACCGAGTGATAGAGATTTAATGCTAGGTTTTGCCAGTTTCGGATCCTCTATAATTCCATTCGACGGGAACGATCTGAAGTAATTGAACTAGTTTAACGTGCGTGCAACCGAGTCGCGGTGGAGAGGAAGCGTTTAACACAGGATGTACTTCTCCACTTTGTAACCTCGTGCGTGCAAACCCCGAGTTTCGTCCAGTTCCCGGCATTAACTTTACGTGCGACCGAAAGTAGCAAGACGTTTCGATGCATGCGTATTACACGCACATTTTATTACTCGCTCGACCTTATAAATACCCGCGACGGAAACGTTCGTCTCAATTACGCGTTTTTCTTACATGAGGAACATTCAGGGTGAACGAGAACGTCTCGCAACGATTTATCTGCGGTGGCGCCGTTTGCGATCGTAATTAAGATGCAGCAATGAAACGGAACACGTTCGGGGAGATCTTTTTCCAGGGGACGAAAGAGAGCAGCGTTCGAGATACGAACAATGAATGCGGGAGGAAGGCGTGACCAAGAGAGTTTCTCGAGTCCTTGCCACGATCCAGCTGCTCCTAGGTACCTACCTTCGCCGTTGCCCTTTCGGAACCACCTCCGCTCGATAGTTCCCTGAGATAGACCGAATAACCGGCAGATCTCCCAAAGAGACGCCCAGGAGGGGGTGGAACAGCTGTTCGCGCCTCTTAGGAACAGACCGTTCGAACGCATCCTCATGTACGCTTTCGCCGTTTAAAATTTCCTCACAAGCTTCCTCGTGAGACAACGCGAATTAAATGTTTCTTACAATCTCAGAAGATAATTGAATTCTTCGTCTCGTAAAAAATAATTCCCCTCAAACGTCAAGATTCCCAACGATATAAATTGTAGGGGACGTACATGTTTTTTTATGAATTGTATACACTCGTTGACCCATTTAATGAGCAGCTGTTCCAACCGAGGCTGCGTCACGACTTAAGTACGTGAAATTTACGAAACGAAGTATCGTTTTAAAAGTCACCGCGCGCGCCTGTCGGGGTTGCTTTTTAAAGGAGCGTGCGGTTACGTTAGCGGTTGGGACTCGTGGGTGGATGAAAGGAGAAGAGAAAAAAGAAAATAGTAGGGAGGGAACCTTGGGCCAGGAAACGCGAGGATCGCCAGATGCCGAGGGTAATTAAATCGCCGCAAACAGGAGCAGAACCTTTCACATTTCTTGACGGATGGCAGCCCTCGAGGCAGAGCTACTTCTCCGAGAACCAGATCCTGCGTACCAACACGCGAATAAGGGAAGAACGGAAATTCGTGTCCGTTAACTGACTCCCATCTCCAGTGGAAATTATCATCTTTCACGTTCTCCCTTCCTTCGTTTTTTCGTCTCGTTTCTTGGTCAAATCTCTGGCGTGCTTCCGTTGATCTGATATCGCGTGATTTCTCGAGTGGCAATGGAAAGCAGGAAGGACACATCCGTTCGGCAGAACAGTAAACGTTGCGTACTTCGATACGAAATTAAAGTCGATTGATCATTTTTTAGCGAAACGCTATGATTCGTTTCGTTGATTGCGACGCTACAAGCATTTAAATCTCTTCGCGCGTGCCAGAATTTACGGACTTCGTTAAGCCAGCGATGAAAGAGATAAGCTCGAATCGGAAACGAATCTCGAGGTGGCTTGGGAACAAGGCTCCCGCCAATTTCTTAAAGCGTGCTCGAGGCAGTGTAACGGCCGTTGGTCCGAGATGCCTCGAAAGCGGCAGGTGCAACTCGGGCCAAACTTCATTAAACACAATCCCATCTGCGCCCTCATACTTCCAAAACGTCTTGCGGCCGGTGCTGCTGCGTGTCCTAAGACGAAGAAAGAAGAGGAAGAACAGGAAGCCTGTGGGAGCTACGAAATTGTCGGTTAACGCGTTTCGTCTCTTCTGTTTTTAAACGCCACACGTTGAACGTTATGAACGATTTTTAATTCAATCTAATATTCTTCGGTGGATGTAAATCGAGACTTCTTGCGTCGACGGACATATCCGTTTAGGCTACGGAGTCAGAGGAACCGGATATTCCATTCTACAGCTTCTGTCGGAAAGTTTCTCTCCTTGTCAAGACCAAAGAGGCCGTTTTCGGTTAAAACAGAAATCGTTTCTTGGAAGAAGGACGCAGCCACGTGGCTGAATCCTCGTGGCACGCGTACCTACTTCTTCGGGCCTTGGAGATTTATTGATATTGGGATCCTGTCTGCCGGCGAGGAACCAACCAGGATCACGAAACCAAATTAGACCATTATCGTCGCAACCGATCCTCGCCAACAGGCTTATGGATACGAATTGGAGCTGCTTCAGTAATGATTACACTCCGTGCAATTATCCCCATTATATCAAAGTGTTATCGAGCAGGATGCCAATTTTTTATTCGCTCGTCAAAAAAATTTATAATTTGCCAATTGAGATTAAAGATCAAAGTTTTTCATTTAAACAACATTCGATACGCGTATAGGGATGAGCAATGTTTGTTGTCTACAATGGCAGTCCCGGTGGATTTGCCGATGGTAATTGAAGCATGCACCGTACGCCCTATGCACCGTGCGTCAATACGGCCGTGGTGAAAGGAACACTTGCCGAATGGTGCAAAGGAAAAACTGTCCCTCCCCATTTTCCCATGAACTTGCCGTCTTAGCAAAAGGTGCTGTGCTTAGGGTACCCGCGGCTTACGAGGTCCAGTATATCGTAAAAGGGAACCCGACTACGTGGAACGAGGTGCATAATAGCGTCCCCAGGACCTTTAAACTTTAAAGGGACGATCCTCGAACAGCTGACGCGTTCTAAAGTGGCCCAGGTATCCTGTCTCGATAAATTCTGAACATCTTGAAAAAAGATTTTCACATTTACCAAAGTGAATAACGCCTTCGGAGGAAAACGGTCGAAGGAAAAGGCAGGAAAACGCGCGAACGATCATTCCGATCGGAAAGTTTAGCTACCTTTTCCTAATACTGCAATATTCAAAGGAAGTTAGTTTTTTCTACTTTTAATATCATTTGCTTACGAACCCGTAAATCGCGTTATTCTTCAAAGAGAAGTAAGCTTCTCTTATTGTTAGATACCTGGATAAGCCAGCGGGTATTTAAATAATGTACCCGTTGTTATTCACGAATTCCGAGGGGAGTTCAAACTCTTCCCTAATCGAGTTTCATGAAACAAGAGATAAAATGAACGCGGTAACAAGGAAACAGCAATTATCTCCGCGCGATTCGGTGATCGATCATCCGAGACTAACTGTGAGAACGCGGAAATACGATCGTCAATACTTTTACGAGGGTGCACTGCTTCAATGTTATCTCTTCGCACTTCTATATTGACTCACATTCGATATTTCTTAATTATGGATTTTACATTTGATAAAAATCAGTGAATACATGCATTCTTGCGAAAGAATATTATTTTACATTAGACAATTCTTAGTGACCAGTTTTATACAGGGTGGGCCGGAAATCGTAGTACAACCAAGGGGATGATTTCCGACCTACCCTGTATATCATTTTCAGTTAAATGTACGGTGGAAACGAAATTAAATGAAGTTCGAAGAGGAAGGGATTAATAATGTAAAACGTTCCTCTCTGCAACGACCGCTCGATTCCCACGAATAACGGGAATTGTTGTACGCATAGTTGCGTTTCGTGATCGTAAATATTCTCGCCGATGCGATTAACGCCGATTACCGTGGATTTCATTGCCGCATCTGTTATACACGATACGATGCCCAGGTGCTAAATAGGGGGTGTGTTCAGCTTTTGGTATTATTTCACTCGAATTGCTATGAAATATTTTTCTCTTCCGGGTTCTCAGTTTCGTTCTAGAAAATGTGTTCATGACGAATAACGTTTTCCACCGACTACTCGTTGACGCTTGCCTTTGCAATTGCATGAAGAAATCGTCTGTTTAGATGAGACTGCAGTGGATATCGTTTTACATTGATTAAATGAAATAATCAGCTCGTTTCTTATTCAAACAAAATTGCATTGGAATCGATTTCCGGTTCACACGACAGTATCGCATGACGAAGTTCGGCGAGTAAACGAGGGTGGGCGTAACCGTGACGGAGGGGTGTTCGAAGCGTCGAATTGTTTCCTAAAGCGGGATAATTAATGAATCTACACTTTCCCAGCGTATTGGTGTCTGTTCATTTAAAACGTAGAACAGAGAAAGGAGCGAGTAAACTTTACAATTTATTCATAGAAATTGCTGTATGATATATCTGGATTTTTATGGGTGTATCTTTTAGAGGAGAAACAGGGAATTAAACAAACTGAAAACTGATTTATTCGTTTGATATACAACAGGAGTGGCGTTACATAATTTTATCCATAAGTGCGATTCACAACATTGCTTCTTCTTTTACACATTATGGCTAAAAATATGATTAATGCAAGGGCAGCTAAACCTCCTATCACGCCACCCACTATCGCTCCAACGTTTGACTCTTCTAGTTCTTCTGGCTCTTCTGGTTTGGGACAATTCTTCACTGGAAGAAGCATGCATGTATTCTTAATACATCGGCGGATCGAGATAGTAGTTAACTATATCATTGTCGCATTACCTTCTATTTTGTCAAGGCTGTCCTTGGTATTGAACGCGATCAGAGCAATGTTGCTGATCTTTAGCTTCACTTTATCTACTTCAATACTAGTTTCTTCATCACATTTGTACAAATGGCTTAAAGGCGCAGAAAATTCGTGAAGATCCGTCTTCTTACCATTAGTACACGATGCTGAATTCGTAATTATGTAAACATTATTTTTTAGCTACAATAATCAATAGACTTCGAATTTGTATGCAAAATAAAATATTTATCGTATTAGTTCAAGGATCATGTTTTAAATAACAGATTCTATTATCATTTTAACATTATGTAATATACACTCTGTTTTTAGTATTTCCTATATTTTTGTACACTGCATGCAGTGTTTATATCTTTTCGCACGTTTTCAATTTTCTTATAAATGCATAAAATTCGCAGTCTAATAAAGCTTTAGGATTACTGGGAAACTGTTTTACTTACGAGAGTCGTAGAATTTGTCTTTATTCGATGCTAAATTTATGCAAACACCCTCGAGGAAATATTCACTTTCTTTTTTTTTGAAACTGAATGTAATTGAATTCGACGTGTCTTGTGCATATGTAGTTGTTTTCGACCATGTTAATGTCATCGTCGAGGATACATCCTCGCACTCACCCGATGGCTGGGCATTATTTGGCACCAATATAGTTTTTTCCCCCTCCTAAACAGAACACACGAAGATACGAACTGTACCAATCAATTCATTTTGTTTCACTTAGAATTGTGCATTTTACGTTCGCGCAAAAATTCATGTTCTCACATTTTTTTGGAACTTGCAACAAATCTTAATTTATATGTTTCTTATGTGCGTTCGAAAACTTGGGCTTTGATTCGGAATTGACTAATTATGAACTAAAATTATTTAATTAGCTTAATTGAAGGAAATTGGAATTAACGATTTAAATTTAATTCTTAATTAAAGAATACTCCTGAGATTTAGGGTGTCATTAATTATTATTGCGGCACTTAAAATATCTGCAACCTTGAACTGAAGTTGAATAATCTGAGATCAGTTTGTTGCAGTAGTGGTACGTACTTTGTCATTTTCCTTGTTAGGTACTGTCATAGACACTGTCATATTTGCTGCGATACACGCTTTGGTTGGATTATTCTTATCAGCGACGACGTACTTGTATTTTTTGAAGGAAGGTTCTAAACTAGGTGGGCACTCCGTTACTGAAAAAAAAGAAATTACTTCGTGTCTTGATGTCTTTTAGAATATACTTGAAATCTGAACTATATTTACTGCATTCAGTAACTAAAAATGTATTGTTTTATGCAATTTGATGATCCTTAGGGCCAATAGCAAATGGTAGATAAAAATATTTTTAACTTTTACCTTTTTTCGAATTGAAACTTTCTTGAACATCGAACGCGACTAGGAGAACATCTTTTATGATTACTTCGGTGTCCATAATGTTTACTGAAATTTCATCTACGCAACTATACATTCCGTTTTTCGCGGATGTGGACAATACGTCTGATGATCCGTAACTTACTGCCTTGTCGTCGACTGAAATGTTTATGAAATATGATGATCGTGTGTATACAGGGTATTATCTCTAACGCGACGCACGATTTTTCACCCAATTTGATTTGACAAGAATGAATTAGAAGAGTTGCAGCGTACAAAGTGTGCAATAGGTTTCAGTAAAAGGATTTCGAGAACAGTTTTTTTTTATGGCGAAATGAAGATCACTTTAGGTTTTGCAAACATTTAACTTTTCGTGCGTCGCGGTAACACACCATACGTATATTGAGAAAACATTACTGTTCTACGTACTGGAATCTGGGAAGTTTTCTTTATCCAATTTAATCTTAAACATTACTTGCTGGAGATAGGCCTTCGTCTCTTCTCTCTTAAAGTAAAACTCAATTTCATTTTCATTTGGAAAGTCGAATGTCGATTCACCTTTCGGTTTCCAAGTTAATTTCATTTTAGATAAATTCGACTCACAAGTTCCACTGATTTTAGCATCATTTGGAATACTTATGGTTTTGCTGGCCTGAAACGTATTCACATATGTAAATTTCTATTTGTGAAAAGTGTATTGAGATTGGAATCTTCATTCTTACTTGCTTATTATCCTTCGTTTTGTAGGGTACGTTTAAAGAAATTGACATCTTTGCCAACAAACACACTGCGTCATTTTTATCCTTTATGACATAATTGAATGTTTTAGACTTGTCCTGTTCGTCACATTTTACTTCTACAAATTTGGAAACGTTTATAACTGTTCTGATTCTGAATAATATCACATAAAATTAATTTATCTGATTTACCCTTGTCGTGTGAGTTGCCGTCCTTGTCGGTATTAAATGCAATCAACTTAACATTTTTTATAGTTACTTCTGCCTCCTTGACTTTAAATTTTATCTCTTTATCGCATGTATGTATTCCTTTTAACAAAGGTGCAGTGAATAACCGAAGATCATTTTCCGATGTTTTATTATACCAGTTAACTTCATCTAAAATTAATTGTAACGTATTCGTCAGCATATTTATCAACGTATTTGTCAGTTATTATATGCATATGTATATATGTACTAATGTGCACATACCCGTTTTACTAGGGAAATTCTTATTGTCCAGATAAATGTTTACGTCGACTGAAAAAACCGAGAAACTGGTATGATCGTTGAGGAATGTAAATCTAATCGTGTTGTCTTTGTTCTCTTCCTTTGGTGGATCTTCTTCCTTTACCGCCTTCTCTGGCTCCTTCCAAGTTAACGTCATTTCTGACAGTATAGGTGAACAAGTGCCAGTAACTTGAGCATTAGCCGGAACGGTTAACGTTGCCTGCACATTCTACAGAAAAGTTTTGAACGTTAAAATTAATTATTACTTAATAATATACCAAACACAGCGCAATGAATCGACGTCTTGCCTTCTTTTCCTTTTTTTCGTAAGGTACCGAAATGGTAATTATCATGTTCGCCAAAGTGCACATTCTCTTTTCATCAGATACAGTGTACATATACTTCGACGCCGGTTTTTCATCGTCATTGCTGTTCTCCAACGGCACAGCAATATTTGTACGTAGATGTTGAGCTAACGTATTGATCGGAATTCCCGGTTGCCGAAAATCGAAGGCACCGCGGCATGACGCTGAAATTTTTTTTATTGACACGGCGATAAGATAACATTATCGGCGACAGTAGTATTGAACAATACATATTTTACTTGAGAACAAACTACGACTGTACACTTTTCAAGAAACAATAAAATTCGTATTGATTAAAAATATAAAATTAATTTAATAATCCTTTGTGGTTTGGAAATTTGAGATCATTTTCAATGCATTATATAAACAAATAAAATCCGCATTTCTGTTTATTAGTATAGACTCACCGGAGAGAATAAAGACGGAGAGAAACGTGAATACCACACGCCACAGATTCATGATCACTTCGCACTTGTGAGCGCGGTTTATCGCATTAATGATCTAAACTATTCGTTTGCTAACTCAATACCAGCCGTATTTCGCTATGAACTAAAATCGAAAATATGAGAGGAGGTGTAAATGGTCGCCAATATATAACAATATCCCTACTCTCATAGGGGCATTATCATTTCTTTGCGATAACGTCAGATAATTCTCAGTATTAATATCGATAACTAATTTCGTCATTTATAGCTAATAATTTTAGAAGAATCTTGATACGTTCTTCTAGATCTCTGGCCAAATTCGTTCTTCGTTAATCTAATTAAATACTCAATAAACTCGGCCTAGGTGAATTGCAAATCAATCGACACGGTAACAAATGTTATAATGAAATCAAAAGATAGCAACATACGACATCAAATTTTTATGAAAATCATATTTTCCCGTAATACCTGTATTTAACTAACTGATTTGCTATATCACGATACGAATGGCTTTGTTATCGATTTCCGAGTCCAGCGGTTAACCGTAAAGCCCTCGCTCCGATCTTTGTCAGACTCGTGGGTGGTAGCGATTTCGATGAATAACGCCACCCTTCCCCCCCGTCTAGTGGAAACGTGGGCGTAAGAAACGGAAGGGAAATCAAGCAGGAGCGTGACAAAAATTGCACAGGATGTGGTTGCACGCGCCCACGGCAATCGACCGCGTATTAAACGCGCGCAACCCTTTTACCCGTTATTGTTCCTACCAGCTGCCTAATTCTCGGTTTCGCCGCGATTTTTCTGCTTTCTTGCCGTCGAAGTCACGAGCCTCTATTCAGTTTTAATCACGTTACAAATTGCGAACGATTAATTTTGATCTAAACCATCATAGTTAATTTTAGATTTTTTTATTCATACATTCACTACCTTACATGATAACAATAATCGTTCAGTCATTTGTTTTCCGCGGATGTTCCAACGTCGAATGCAGCAGAAACAAGATAATGTAATCGATTCCTGATACCGAATGATACCAATATAGACTACATATTTGATTGATTCTTCCGATTGTATATTTATTACGCTGGTAGCATGCCAGTATATGTATAATACAAGAAATGAATCAGTCACCTTTTTAAAAATGAAGTCATCGTTAAATTTTTCCTTTCGTGTTGTAACTGTGATTAAGAACCTTATAATTTGAAGATAGATGGTAATTTCCGTTCGGAACGATCCACGTGTCAGTCGTTCCTGGCGGTTGCTCCTTTCAGAATCGCAGTCCATCTCGTTTCTTGGACGAATGCCGATTCACGTGGCCCTTTCTAACAAGCCGCGCCGGTGTTTGCCCATTGGTAAACGACGGTCCCTGATGGCCGTTCGTGAATAATATCGAGGCCGAAACGATCTCGTTTGCCGATCCCTAGTCATTGTGCGGTGACCGTAATTTTCGTTCCGGCGATTTTCCAAATTCGCCGAGGAACCGCCGCGACGCTTTGCGGGGGAGCCAGTTAGGCAAACGAACCACCGAACCGATTTACGGTGTCATTCATCGTAGACCATCGTCTCGTGCCTTCCTGCAAGCTGCGACCTATAATTGCCTCTAACCAGGTCCGAGTTGAAACGGACAAACGGCGCGCTGAATGGCAGACCGTTCAATCTGTTCCACACGCGAATGTCTTTTCAGCTCGTAGCGAGTGAATGAAGAATCGCGCGTCGACTGCATTGAACGATATCGATGCGTCTGAAACGATAACAGAAGCTAGCTGCTGCTTATCCTTCATCTCGGATACAGTTTCAACGATCGTCCCCGCATGATTTCGATCGTATCGATCCTTCCTTTCGATCGATCCGCCATCTGCCAATGACACTCTTCAAGGGTTGCTAACCCCTTCCTGGACCTTCGCCGGACTTTTACGGACGAGTGGTTACCCACAATAGGTGCGCGAACAAAAGGGGATGAACGGATATGGCGATTGTTCAACGCGTGACACGAATTTCCTGTATCGACGAGCCATACGCTTATCGTTAGACCTTTCAGAGATTCTTCGAATTCAGTCACTCCAGTTTTTCTAAAATAATATTATCATACATTACGTTTTAACGTCATTCTTTAACAGCTGTACGAAGATAAAATAGTGATACAGATAACATGTTCGACAAAATTCTAATAATAAAATACTTTCTAAGGCGTGTAGTTGTACGATAAAATCAATCTTTTATTTAGAACCCACATAACTTTCTGTGGGGATTCCATGGCGAGAACAACCTTAAATTTCCATTGACTATCAAACATGCAAATCTAAAGTACAAACGAAAAAATTTTGAACGTGTTCCTATCTAATCGCCGCTACGGTCTTATAATGAATCCTTCCAACGAAGCGAGGGAAGCGTGGCAAGCAGCCCTCATTTAGACACAACAGGATTCCTAAGGGTATCTTTTAATCGCGATGATTGCTCGTGGCCGCGATACGTTTAACTCGGACGGTGTCTGTGCAATTGTACGGTATACGTGCAGAAACGTGCACGCGTGCTCGTTCGCGTACGAGGCGGGAGGAAGTTAAATTAACGAACGAGCAGAGCGGAGTTTGTTGCAGGAGGGAAGCGACCCGTGTGTATCTCGGATATGCAAATTTGTAATAACGTTATAAGGTCGCAGATCTCTGGTCATTCCTTGAAATTCACCCGTATCAGATAGAAGGTGGCGTTACGTGTTCTCTTCCTGTCAGCCCTTATCAGCAGAAAATGCAATTCATATTTCTAAAAAGTTTCCTTCTTTATCTAAAATATTTTATTACAATTGTTTATTAGAAACATTTTATCTGCAATTAAGTATCGCACAATTAACTCTTAAATGATATGATAATCTATTCATGACTCTGAGCATACTGTGCGACAACAGCTTTGTGGTAATAATGTACTTCCTCATGATTCATCTGATGCTAATACGAATTTTTTGTATATCAATCATTTGATCAAAATTAATATCAATGAAATAATACTATAAGATAGTTTTCGCACCTGTGAAAAACAGACAGCGCCGCGGTTTCACACGGAAATTTTATGTTCCGTGAACGAACACGACCTTACAAAAGTTCACCCTTTTACACCTTAGGATCTGAAGTCCGTCTTCATTCTTTTTCTCCCCTTCTTACACGTGTTAACGAATTCGACGGGGACGATTGTTTTTAAACAGTTCACACCTGTGTAACGTTACGCGATTTTTAAAGTATCCGGTGGGAATCCCTTGAACGCTTTTCCGTTCGTCTACTCGTTTCCGGATTAAGGAACTGTCGACGTGAGCACGTGACTTACCTGTCGTTAAAAAGGTTTCGAACGTTCGTTCCTTTTTTTTTTAATCAGGAAGTGAATACGTAGTTTCTGCGTGATAAATCATATTTGGAGGGGGACATTAGGTAAGTCCGTAAGCGGAATCTAGATATGTCGCAAAATCAGTCGTTATAGCAACGAGGATTATTTACAGTATACATGATTCGCTGTTCTTAATTAATTTTTATTGATCGCTGAGTTTTACGATGGGGACTAGATAGTCCGTTTCAGTAGTGAATTTCTCTGAATAATATTTTATTAAAGGGGTACTCGCAGCACGCGAAGCCTAGACTTCGTCCATCTTTGGTCAGGGCTTTGTGTAATCGTGACCCATTATTTCCATGCTGGGGGCACGTGAACCATATGGTCCACGTGGACGTTGATGCACGCGTTCTTGATACCTACCCGATCGAGCTATCGAGTTCACGAAATTTAAACTTTGCACGCGCGATCGGTTCCCGTCCGTTCGTCCGCGCTTCGTTGGCTTCATGGGAAACTACGTCGTCCGGTCTGCCTCGCTAAAAAATTATTCAAACTTCAGAGACAACGGACTCTTTTATGGTTAATTATTCAACCGATTGTTTCACGCAATTTCACGTTCACCGCTTTCTACGGTACAATAATTAGCAATGGGTTCACCAGCCCGTGGCGCTAAGTATGCATGAAATCCATAATTGATGTCAATTCTACAAATCTTGAATTTTAACAACGTTATTGGAATATTTACTTAGTTTCGTTTGTAAATGTGACATATTTGGGAAAATAATGTTCAACAATAGCTGAAATAATATTCTTCAAATATGTTTGCTAATAGGCAAGTTTAATGCATTTTATAAAGTGCAACTTTAAGATTGATAGACGCAGATCCATAATCCTATCAACGATGCGTTATTATATTTAGTAAAAGATTTTCTCACAGGAGTTACAACTGTGTCCGACCGTTACGAGAGATGTATCGTTCATTGTGCGAACGCATGCACCTGCGTTTTACGATTGCTAAAAACGGAAGGACTCCCCCGAGCGTGTGCATGGTTCACCTGTGCTTTTCTGCACTTTCTCGCGCGCGATCACGTTAACACAGACGATGACTGATGAATCCCTTTGTACATTGAATAAGATCATGCATTGAGAAATTATTTATCATCAATTATAATCATCCAGTGTCAGTGCAAAATTATTTATTTATTCCAATTAGATTATTCGTTGCATCCCAGTTGATTATGCCCGAGCCCGAGCCTTGATG